TATCTCAACTATTACCGGTAGTTAATGGTCCAACTATATTTCCCTTAGTGTCGTATCCTACTCTTTGCGTATTGTGTTCGCCGTTTTAAAGTTGTGCAAGTTGTTTAAGATAGGTTCTCAATTTTCAGTTTATGTCGTAATAGTCTCTAGGTAGTCGATAGGCCTGCATTCATTCCCGTTGTTTCATTCACGCCGCTTTTAAGCTCTCGACCTTGCATTTTCTCGTTTTCATTCGAATATTAAGTCAGTTTTCAATGGCTGCAGCCCTTTTTGCTACGTCGTTTTGAAGGGTTGCAGCCCTATTTGACGTAGATCCTAGTAACGACCAAATATACAATCCATCGATCTTGAAACTGATCTACTCCATGTGTGAATTTGAGGTCAATATTATATACTAGTCATTTGTACCCTTTTGCTTGTTTCTATGGTCGTAATGTCGTATTCTACTTTTTTACTAACGTGTTCGCCGTTTTTAAGCTATGCATGTTGTTAAAGATAGGTTCTAGGCTTTCAGTTAACGTCGTAATAGTCTCTAGGTCGTTGATAAGCCTGATTCCATTCTTGTTTATTCACTTTGCCGTTTTCAAGCTTATTTCGACCTTGCAGTGTGTCGTTTTCATTCAAATAGTGAGTCGGATTTCAAGGCTGCAACCCTTTCTGCTATGTCGTTTTGAAGGGTTGCAGCCCAATGCGATGTAGATGCTAGCAACTATAAATGATACAATCCATTGATCTACTACCTAGGTCATTTTGAAGCCGAAGATGATTGAATTTGATCTACTGCATCCGTTAATATCCTGTTTTTTTGTTTCTGTGATCCTCCACCTAACTGCAGGAAATGCTCAAGCACGTTGTTGTCTCAATTCCTTGTCTTTTTAACGGTGAGAACATGTTGGAAGAAAGAGAGCGAAAGAGAGGGAGAGTACGTAAGAGCAGCGGCAGAGGATATGGCACGGGTATAGGGAGAGAGCGTGCAAGAGAACGAAAAACGAAGTTGCTGTTTTGTTTAAATCTAGGTCAAATTAGAACTTAGTAATTAAGGTCTTTTTCTTCGTATCCTTTCGAATATAGATCTCTTAACTCAATCCTCAATTCCTTCCATTTTTTATAGACTTGATTTTATGTTCTTCATTCTTTCCCCTTTTGTACTCAGTGTGGCCTCCAAATCTGACACGGTTTTGCTGGCCGCTGTAACAGAGGTGGAAGATTTTGGTTTGTCCTTTTTTACGACTTGGTGCGACGATGTCGCACACATGAATACGATGTCGCAATTTCACTGTAGCAGCGTATGCGACTTCGTTTCTCACTGTAGACAGCTGCTGTCGACAGCATGGCCGATTTGAAGTCGACCACGCGTCGGAAAAGAGTCGACTAGTTTTCCGGCCATCAAATCACAAATTTGATGGTTGAAATTGACGAGATTCGCAAACCGATCACGAAATGGTTACTTTCGCTACGGCCACCTAATTTTGATGGCCGATTCTGTGTGCACGGGGATCTTACACGCCCTTAGGGCGCAAAGGGTTAACCTTCAGCTGGTTCGAGGATGTTGTATCAACAGGCAAAATGTCGCACCGTTTGTGCGGTGCTGATTCTACCTCGAGAGGCAGCATCAGCCCCCGCACAAGTTATGCGTTGCAGTACCAACCTCCGAAATGTGAACATTCGCCAAAACGCGAAGGTGCGGCTGGGATGGTGCTGGGCTTCTATGCAACATCCGCGCAACCACACCAGGTTGGACGCGCCCTGAAACCACGCGGAAGGCCCTGCCCGCACAAAATATGCGGAACCGATAACGCCTGCAGAACAGCACCATTATGGGATGCGCGGTGGTTCGGTGCATGTTCTGGTTTGTTTCAGAGTGGTTTGATATGGCGGAGTTTGTTGAAATATCCGACCAACATATCAGCGAATTATTTTGTTACTGTATACGTCGCCGTGATTTGTTTCGCGAACTGGCAATTTTTGAGCCCACGCGTGGGAGAGCGCGTTCTGTCTGACATCGCGCGACATCATCAGAGGAACAAGGCTATCACTCTGACAACATCTGACCTCGTAACTCCACTAGGCTGTGATAAAAATTATGCATTGCTTCGCCGCATTCGACAGCGGGGAACCTAGAAAAGCGAATCATCCCAATGCCATTTATGCACCAGGCGGAGTTTGTAGAGCAGTGGATGAGCACATTTCTGTAAAGTTTCTCAGTGGCTGAGATCGCAAAACAGGTTTTTGTGGAATGAGCCTCAGCCAGTAGTAAGCTGACTTTCCTAATGGTTTTTGCACCTCATCCATTCCTCATTATCATTTAGGGCGCTCGTCGTGACTGATGTCGTGAGTAGTGAAGGAGCCTTCCGCGCACATCCACCGCCTCACTGACGATCTTCTCATTCAAATCCTATGGCACTCCGCGAACCCCGGCACCTGCTCATTTAAAAGAGACGCTATATGGACCTCCGTGCACCACAAGCCCAGGTACCTGCATCCGCACCGCTTACCTGGCTCTGATTCGCCTGTGTACCAGCCGCATCCAGCTGACGAATCAACTCTCCGCAACCTCCGCAGGTTACCATCTCCTCGTCGCGTCGGTCTGCCGTCGTTGGCGGCGACTCGCGCAGCTCTCCGTGTCCACCCTTTCCCTCCGAAGCAACCTCGACGTTCCTCTCGAATTCCTCGCGACGGCTGTCGCTTGCTTCCCAAATCTGACATGTCTGCGACTGTGCGACGGCAGCGTGGCGACAATGAGCGACGAATTTCTCGATCGCCTCGCATCGTCGTGCCCTAAACTAACTTCTTTCCACATTGGAAGCAGAATCACATACGCGAATCATGGCATAAGCAGAGACAACCACCCGTTAACTGAATCCGGTTTGAATCGGCTCTTTCAACGTTGCACGCAGCTAAAGCAGCTTTCGCTCTTCTGCCTCCAGGGGAACATGGATCTACCGTCTTCTTTTTTCCGACTATCACACCTACACTCACTCACCTTAACAACTCCGTTAGTGCTCGAATCCCCTCATCTCGCGAGCCTTTCGTCCCTGACAGCTCTCCGAATCGCCTCGTGTTACCTCAACTCTAAGCAGTTCGCAGGTCTTCTTCGCCTTCCGAGCATCGCCAGCCTTTCAATCTCAGATAAAATCGAGATTTCGCCGCGCGATCAACCCGCTGCTGCTCTCATCCTCGCACAGCTGCCGCTGTTGACATTAGAATGTAGCCTAACGATTCCGTCAGAATTACCGTGTAGCCGTCTCGAGCAGCTGTCGATTACCAAATCCGACCAGCTTGAGCAGCTTCCTGGAAACATCGCGGAGCTTCTTCCGAGCCTTCGCGAGCTGAGCATTCACAGCTGCAAAATGTTTTCCCATCTGCCCGAAAGTTTCACCTGTCTGAGCCTGTTGGATAGCCTGACGATTTCTTCCTGTTGCTCGTTTTCGAGCCTACCCGAGAACTTTGCACAGCTGGCAGCGCTCAAGACGTTGGTGCTGGAGATGCTGCCACTGGAGAATCTTCTTGACTCATTCTGCAGCCGTCCCAATTTGCTCGAAAGCTCCACGTCCCATCTACCCGAGCAGCCAATATTCCCGACTTCCTCATCCGACCCACCCGAGCAGCTGAATCTTTCGAGCTCCTTGACGAGCTTGACGATTTCCACTTGCCGCAAGCTCTCCAACCTGCCCGAGAATTTCGGGCAGCTTCCCGTCCTCAGAACATTGGTTTTAGATAATCTCACACTGACGGACCTTCCAGATTCTTTCGCCCTACTCACATCCCTGGAAACCCTATTTATACTCGACTGCGAGGACATTGAGCAGCTGCCAGCAGGGTTCTGCAGCCTCACAGCCCTCACCACTCTCTGCCTGATAAGGCTTTGGGAGGTGAAGCTTCTAGAAGACATTGGCGCGCTGCTGCAACTGCATACTCTTCTGCTGGACAGCAACTCTCAGGAACAGCTACTCCCACCCTCCTTCACCCAGCTGAGATGTCTAACTAGGCTTGAGCTGAACCGCTGCAACATTGAGACCCTTCCAGAGGGCATGGGGAATCTCAGCAGCTTGCAGCAGCTCCACATTGACTCATGCGGCCAGTTGAGCGAGCTCCCTGCGTCCATCTCAGCCCTCAGGTGTCTGCAAATCCTGACCGTTCATTCCTGTCGACGGCTCTCCTTGGTTCCAATCAGGCTGGACAGGCTCAGAAGGCTCAAACACCTCGAGATTACCGATTGCCACTCGCTGCCTGAATCCGTCCAATTTCTGCCGCCCTTTCTCGAGAAGCTGAGCATGGCAAGCACCGACAGCACTGCAAATCTGGTGACAATCCCAATGCTGCCAGATTTGAGACAGCTGGAGCTATCTTGGGTCCCTGTGGACCGACCATTGGGATTCAGCGAAAGCTTGTCGAATCTGAGGCAGTTGGAGCTGTTCTTAGATAAAACTGCAACCGAGATTCCATTCCCGCTGGCATCCCTTCCCCAGCTGCACACCTTGGCGATCTATCATGCTGGCAAGATTGCCGGGCTTCCAGAGAGCATTGGCGCAGCTCTGCAGCAGCTGAAGGAGCTAAAGATACACAATTCTGCGGAATTGGCTGAGCTGCCTGAGAGCATTGTGGAGTTGCAGCAGCTGACTTCACTGGAGGTTCATGCTTGCAGCAGCCTAGCTCTCCTCCCAGAGGGCATTGGTGCCCTGACCAGGCTGCGCAAACTGAACGTGTCAGATTGCAAGGCGTTGACACAGCTCCCTGCTTCTCTCACCCGCCTCACATGGCTGACTGAGCTCGATCTCTGCTCCACCCGCATCGACTCGCTTCCTCCCCACTTTGTGCGGCTAGGCAATCTAAGGCGGCTCATCTTGGATGGGTGCTGGCGGTTGAAGGCGCTGCCTTCGGATATGGCTGAGTTGAAGATGCTGCAGTATTTGGGCGTTAAGCGGTGCAAGCAGTTGCTGGATCGCGATGGGTATGTGCAGCCCCGTAGCTTATATACTAGTAAAGTGCTTAAGATAGGCCTAAAGTGAGCCTGTGGATGGGTCACACGACATCACTGGAGGGTTTGCTTTGAAAAGAAGGGGGTTCGACTCAAGTGTATCTGTAAAGAATACATGCTGTCACAACACAGTACTTCTGAAACATACTGGGTTGCTGCTGCCAAGATGTTCTTGGTTACGTGTTGTGCCTGTATGACTTGCTCTGCCACAACAAAGCACTAGAACTTCATGTCACATGATATAGAAACCGAGTACCGACATCAGTTTGATCACTCGTCATCATCATCACACAAATCAATTATTTCCTCCTCATCATCCACAGCCACCACTGGCGGCTCAGTGCCACTCAACTGCCGCAGCTCTTGCGTTACATTCTTCGCACCTTCCCCTTGTAACACCTGCTGCTGCTGCTGCTGCTGCTGTAAAGACCTTCCATCCAGAGAGCCCTGTGCTTGAGTCTCCTCTTCGCCTGCGCCAGCCGAACGTTTCTCACTGGAGCCGCTCTGCTCACCATTCTCCTCTGCAGCCCGCGTCCCATCCGCACTCTTCCCACAATCCCCTTTCACAACGGTATGAATTTCATCAACCCCTAAAGCAGCACCTGATTTGCTGCCTGCCACGTTTTTTACCCCAGCGTGCACGTGAGGGGCGCCGGTCCCTTGCACACCTGCGCTGCCCTGCTCTGCCCCAGGCATTCCAGGCGGTCTCTCAGACGACTTCAACGGCTGCACAGGAGGCGATCTTTTCAAAGATGATCTTGTCAAACGTGCTTCAGCGGGAGGTAATTTCGGTGAATGTGCCCTTGCCGGAGGTGATTTTGCCGAACCTGATTTCGCTGGAGGTGATTTTGCCGAAGCTGGTTTTGCCGGAGGTGATTTTGCAGAAGCTGATTTTCCCAAAGGTGGTTTTACTGGCAGTGCAGGGATCACCTCAACACCCATGTTGTCATTCTCTGCTGCACGCACTCGAGGAGACTCCCCTCTCTCTGCTCTCCCAGGTGACACAGGCACTTCTACCACCATCTCGTCACTTTCTGAGGACTCCTCACCCTCCTGTCTCTGCTTTGCATCCCTTCCCCCTCTGGACTCCGCCTTACTCTGTGTTTCCTTCACCTGCTCTGCATCAGCCCCCTCTCCTCGCCCCTTCTCTGTTGGGAGCCTACTCTGCTGCTCCTCTTCAAGTGCTTCTTTTCCTTCGGGAGCGCGATCTTGTTTGCTCCCCAAAGGGCTGCCTCCTCCACCCACATCACCGCCCAACTGGCCCTGCGTGCCCAGCTCCTTCTGACCTTGCGTGGTTGGCTCCTTCTGGCCCTGCCTGACTTGCTCCGAAGAACCACCGAAATCAGTACGAGACCCAGCAGGTGGAGCAGGAGGAGTGGGGGAAGCAGGAGCAGGAGGAGCAGCAGGAGCAGCAGTGCTGGCAACAGATTTGGATTCTTCTCTGCAATCTAATGCTGCAACAGCTGCCCCGCCTGCATCAGACGCCCTGGCAGGACCAGATGAGCCTGGCATCTCACACTCGGCTGCTGCAGACGGTCTTGCTTTGAGCTTAGCAGAAGCAGCAGCCCTAGCATCGCTCACATCTGCTGTCTCACTCGCTGCTGCTGCTGCAACAGTTGCTGCTACAGCTGGTCCATGCGAGCACGTGACAAATGCATTCTCGTTCCCTTTCGTCGCTACAGCCTCATCTGCAATATTCGCAGGAACGCTCTCGCCCTCCCCTCCTGCTACAGCCACAACCTCTGAATCAGCACAAGCATTCTCTTTCCCCCCAGCCGCTACAGTCTTGACCTCGGGATCAGCAGCAGACGCATTCTCCCCTGTTGTTGCCTCAACGTCAGAATCAGAGGATGCATTCTCCCCTGCCGCTGCCTCAGCCTCGGCATTAAGCCGGCGTATGAGAGCTACATACGGGTCACAATACGCCTCCTCTTGCGGCTCCTTGAAAGGAGATTCAGTGCGGTTCTGAGGTGCTGCTAATCCAGCTTCGGACTGGTTTTGAGGGGGTTTGATGGGGGAGGTGGCTTGCCCACGGGCCACTGGCAAGGGCAGCAGTGGCGGCGGCAGTTGGCGCAGAGGCATGAGTGGCGGGTATGCCGATCACATATGGCTCTCTCCATGGCACACTGCCCTTGGGATCCTGCGGCTGATCTTTTTTCTGCTGCTGCTGCTGCTGCTGCTGCTGCGGTTGAGTCCCCTGCTGCTGCTGCAGGCCCTGCTGCAGCTGCTTCGCAATATCCTGCTGCTCCTTCTGCCGCAACCGCTGCTGCTGCAGCTGCTGCCGCGTCCCCACGCCCACCTGCTGGTGCTGCTGCTGCTGCTGCTGCTGCTGCTGCTGCTGCTGCTGCTGCTGCTGCTGCTGGCGGGTCTTCAATTCAGCTGCCACCACATCAATTGCAGTCTGGATAGTGTCTGCAGCCGCACCCACCCCAGTACTACCTGCACCAGCAGAGCCTGCTGCTGCTGCTGCTGCAGTGCGGTTTAGCTGGGAGAGCCTTGCAGACTCACGCAGACAGGCAAACGAGGCAGGCAGAGAGGAGGAGTGAGAGGCAGAGGTATTGGTCCTGGGTTCAGAGGGGCTAGTGAGATTTGAGAAATGCTGCTGCTGCTGCTGCTGCTGCTGCTGCTGGTTGGATGCACGCAACTGTTGCTCTAGCTGCTGCTGCAGCTGTTGTTGCTGTTGCAGCAACCGCTCTTGTTGCCGCAGCTGCTGCTTCTGCTGCTCCTGCTGCTGCTGCTGCTGGTACAAGGCTCGTAATTGTTGCTCCAGCTGTTGCTGTTGCTGCTGCTCTTGCTGTTGTTGCCGCAGCTGCCGCAAGTGTTGTTCCTGCTGCTGCTGTTGCAGCTGGTACAGGGCGCGTAGCTGTTGCTCTAACAGTTGCTGCTGCGGTTGCTGCTGTTGTTGCTGCTGCTGCTGCTGCTGCAGCTGCTGCAACTGCTGCTGCTGATACAAGGCACGCAACTGCTGCTCTAGCTGCTGCTGCTGCTCCAGCCGTTGCAATCGCTCCTGCTGCCGCAGCTGCTGCTGCAGCTGCATTTGCTGCAGCCGCTGCTGCTGCTGCTGCCGCCGCTGCTCCTCTTGCTGCTGCTGCTGCAACTGTCCCTGTGCCTGCAGCTGAACAGGATCCTGAAACAGCTTCTGATACAGCTGCTCTATCTTCTGCTGTCGAGTCAGTCCTTCCCGCCCACCTTCTCTCCCTTGCCGCACCTGCTGCTGCAGTGTTGAATCGCTGCCGCCACTGCTCCCAAGCCGTGGGGCCTGTAATGCCTGTTGAGCTTGTTGAGTCGCCTGTACTGCTGTGCGTGGCACTTGGCCCTCCTGGACCCTTGCGTGTGGTGTCTGTGCCCCCTGTGTCCCGTGTGCTCCGTGTGCCCCGTGTGCCACATGTGCCACATGTGCTGCTTGTGACACGTGTGCCCCATGCGCCACACGTGCTGTTTGAGCTTCATGTGCCATGTGCAATGAAGCTGGCGCCTTAGCAGCAGCAGCCACCCAACCGGGTACACGAGTTGCAGCAGCAGAAGCACCGGTAGCACCAGCAGCACCAGCAGCAGCAGCAGCAGCATGGGAGGTGGTGGCTGCTTTAGCAGTGCCACTGGCAGGGGCAGCAGTGGCACCGGCAGCGGCAGCAGTGGTAGCAGCGGCAGTGGTGGTAGCAGCAGTGGTCTTGTGGTGGTATTCGAGGTTGAGAGCGCGGCACAGCAGCTCCACGCGGCGCTTGCAGAACTCCACCACTCGCTTCTGCGCCGCGTTCCATGCCAGGTGCTCCTCCCGTGTCCACGCCCGTAACCGCTTGCCTGCTGGTATGCCTCCGCCTCTTGCTGCTGGTGGTGCTGCTGTTGCTGTTGGTGCTGGTGGTGGTGCTGCTGCTGTTGCTGCTGGCGGTGCTGTTGTTGCTGTTGGTGCTGGCGGTGTTGCTGTTGCTGTTGGTGCTGGCGGTGTTGCTGTTGCTGTTGGAGCTGGTGGTGGTGCTGCTGCTGTTGGTGCCGCTGCTGTTGCTGTTGGTGCTGGTGGTGGTGCTGCTGCTGTTGGTGCCGCAGCTGATGTTGATGGTGCTGCTGACGCTGCTCCCGGCACCCTCTCTGCTTCTGCTTCCACTGATCCCCTGTCCGCTGCTTCCTCCGTTGCTTCCTCCTTTCCTTCCTCCTTCCCTCCCTCCTTTGATCCCCCCTTCACTTCCCCCTTCACTTCCGCCTTCGTATCCTCTTTTGTTTCATCCTTTGTTTCCTCCTTTTCTTCCTCCTTCATTTCCTCCCTTTCTTCCTCCTTTTCCTTCTCACTTGCTCCCTCCTTCAATTCCTCCACTTCTTCCTTCAATTCCTCCTTCACTCCCTCTATTCCTTCCTCCTTTGTAGTCACACGTTTTTCAGCATCATCAACGCCACTAGCACCACCATCAGCACCACCGGCACCAGCAGCAGCAGCACCTGTTTCTGCTTTCACACCCGCAATCATACGATCACCCTCGTCACCTTCTTGCACTGCTGCCGCCTTCCCCTCTGCCCTCCCCTCCTCCCTAGAACCTGCCACGTCACCCATTGCAACCTCCCCACCACCAACCACTCCCCCAGGACTGGCTGTCACACCATCAGGTTTGGTGGGTGTATCAGCAGGACCGGTGGCCGAAGCAACAGGATTGGTGGTCACCGCACTAGGTCTGGTAGGTGCATCACTAGGATTGGTGGGCTGGCCATGCGAGGTGGCAACTGGGGTAGGTGGATCCGCCGGGATGTCCTCGAGGGTAAGGCCAATCATGTTGCGGGGCGGGGCGGGCGGCAGCGACAGCTCAGCACGCGCCACGTCAGCAAGGCCCAACTTATCGTCATTGATGATGTCACTCCACCGCCCGTAGCCGTGCCTGCGAGGTAGGGGTGGGGGGGACGTGAAGGGGAGGTGAGTGGGCGGTGAGTGGGAATGAATGATGATAGGGGTTAGAACGAAAACTATGGGTGCGAGTGGAAACTGGCTGTCCTTTGTGATGTCACTTCACTCCACCGCCCGTAGCCGTGCCTGCATGGAATTGCTGGGGGGGGGATGGGGAGGTGGCGGGGGTCGAGGGAAAACAGTGTCAGGTGCAGGGAAGGAAGAGTGGCATGGTTATCCATAGCTCACTTGGTAATTCCTTTCAGCGGCAGCAGGTCGTGCTCGGCCCAAAAGTGCCGCGTGGGAAACAGCGGCGAGTGGCTCCTCAGGTGCCTTTTAGGTTGACTCACTTGGTACTTCCTCACAAGTCACAAGGTTGACTCACTTGGTAATTCCTCACAAGTCACAAGGTTGACTCACTTGGTAATTCCTCACAAGTCACAAGGTTGACTCAGTGAGTAATTCCTCACAAGTCACAAGGTTGACTCACTTGGTAATTCCTCACAAGTCACAAGGTTGACTCACTTGGTAATTCCTCACAAGTCACAAGGTTGACTCACTTGGTAATTCCTCACAAGTCACAAGGTTGACTCACTTGGTAATTCCTCACAAGTCACAAGGTTGACTCACTTGGTAATTCCTCACAAGTCACAAGGTTGACTCACTTGGTAATTCCTCACAAGTCACAAGGTTGACTCACTTGGTAATTCCTCACAAGTCACAAGGTTGACTCACTTGGTAATTCCTCACAAGTCACAAGGTTGACTCAGTGAGTAATTCCTCACAAGTCACAAGGTTGACTCACTTGGTAATTCCCTTGAGCAGCAGCAGGTCGTGCTCTGCCCGCCAGTGTCGAGTGCGGAACAGCGGTGCCAACTGGCTGTGGCCCCTCAGGTGCGCTGGCAGCCCTGGCAGCAACTCCTCCCAACCCAGCTCCACCGCTTCCTCCTCCTCTTCCTCCCCCTCTTCCTTTTCACCCTCCTTCTTGTCACCCTCCTTCTCGTCACCCTCCTTCTTGTCACCCTCCTTCTCGTCACCCTCCTTCTTGTCACCCTCCTTCTCGTCACCCTCCTTCTTGTCACCCTCCTTGTCACCCGCCTTCTTGTCACCCTGCTTCTTTTCACCCTCCTTTTCACCCTCCTTTTCTCGCTCCTTTTCACCCTCCTTCTTTTCACCCTCCTTCTTGTCACCCTCCTTCTTGTCACCCTCCTTCTTGTCACCCTCATGCTTTCCACCTTCTCCCTCTCCCATCTCTCCCTCTCCATTATCTCCTTCACCCTTCGCACCCGGCTCACTGTTTCCCTCCTCCTGCTTCTCATGCCCCTCCCCATCTCCCTCCACGCCCCTCATTTCTGAAGGTCCATCCCCCTTCCCGTCCCCCACCACCCCTCCACGTTTTCCCTCTCCCTTCTCACCCCCTTCCTCACCAGCCAAAGTCACGCCCTCCATTTCTGAAGGTCCATCCCCCTTTCCTTCTCCCACCGCGCCTCTGCACACTTCCTCTCCCGCCTTCCTAACAGCCTCTTCTTTCCCAGAAGATGCTGCCGCCGCCGCCGCCGCTGCTGCTGCCTCTTTTGTTGCTGCGCCTCCTGCTGCTGCCTCTGCACCCCTACGCTCCGCACCACTCGCTTCTGCACCCCTCACTTCCACACCCCTTCCCGCTGCAGTATTTCCACACTTGGCCAGCCTCCTTGTCCTCGCCCTCTCCTGCAGCTTCTCCCGGGTCCTCTCAGCAGCGGCCACCTTGGTGCGAATGAGATGCAGCAGGGCCAGACGGATTAGCACCTCCTGGGAGTTCACGCCCTCCTTGGGAACTCCATCTGGCGGAGGGGGAGTTGGGGGTGGAGGGGAAGACATAGGGGAAACGAGAAGGGCAAGGAGAAGGGGAAGGAGAAGGGGAAGGAGAGGGGAATGAGGTGCAGCAGGGCCAGACGGATTAGCACCTCCTGGGGAGTCGGGACTCACAATCGTCTTGGGAACTCCGTCTGGTGGGATGAAAAGGGGGAAGAGGAGAGAAGGGTAGGTTAGGGAAGCGGAGAGGAAAGAGGAACATTCCTAGTTGACTCAGACACCGCAATAGTCAAGTACAGGTATGTTCGAGATATATTTTGCAGGTCCTTCAGAAGTTCGAGCATCTGAGGAGATCAATACCAGGGTGCGGCAACTAAGGGACAGGTGATGACAAGGAGGAGTGAGAGTAGGGAGCACAGGAAGCATGAATGAGGTTACAAGAATGAATGAAAGGTGGGTTGCTTAGGATAGAAGAATGATGATGGTACTGCATGAATGGTGCTGCGTGCACAGCACTACATGCACAGTGGTGCATGCACAACACGGAATGCAATTGCAGCTCTCGCTTGGTCACAAAGGTGAAGCCTTTTGACTTCAATGTGGTCCTCCAGGCTGCACACCATGCAGGCATGAATCGGCTAGCATGGTGTTGAATGGGATGTGATGGACTAGACTTGGCAGGCGAAGCCAAGCTTCATTCACCACGTAACCAAAAAAAGTTGTCTCACGTATGCTTCTTTTCCATGTTGAATGGAATGTGATGGATTAGACTTGTCAGGCGAAGCCATTCGAAGCGTCCTCTGAATTATTTACAGGTACATAAGAGGTAATTGACAATAGAGTTACATAATCTCAACAACTTCTTCGCAGTTGTCATCCTCATCTTCTTCGTCGACTCGTGACAGGGTTTCAGCCACGGCAGCCACGGACAGTTTCTCTGGTAACTTCATGTTGGCCGGCCAAAGAAACTTTTGTGAAGTTATAAGACGTGGGTTATGGACAGCTCAATCCTAAGAAGGATATGAAAGTATTCCAATGCTCGCCCGTCCTCGATCTTCTTTTTGTAGCTACGTCCGAAAACTGGACCGCATGCAGGTAATTCTTCTACTTCGGGCGGGCATCGGAATACCTCCATATCCTTCTTGGGGTTGAGCTGCCCATAACTCACGTTTTTATAACTCCACAAGAGTTTGTTTGGGCAGCCAACATGAAATTACCAGAGGAAATGTCTGTGGCTGCCGTTGCTGGAGCCCTGTCACGAGTCGACGAAGCAGATGAGGATGACGACGACGAAGTTGTTGTTAAGATTATGTAACTCTATTGTTAATTGCCTCTTATGTACCTGTAAATAACTCAAAAGACGCTCTAAATGACTTCGTCTGACAAGTCTTATCCATCCCATTCAACATAGGTTGGAAGCATACGTGAGACAACTCTTTCTGTTGCATCCTGAATCAGCTAGCAGTGTTTAGGAGCTTCCGGTCGCTTTTTTCACGGGACATGATGACTTGGCCGATGACTCTGGGAGGATGAGAGAGGATGGCTGACATGACAATATCTACCAAGATGCGTGAAACATCGAGAGGAAGCTCTAGAACGCAGCCAGCTGATTCATGATAAAATGGCAGCATGAGTTGTCACACTTATGGCTTTCTTCATGCCCGCATGGTGTGCAACCTGACACACGCTTCACCTTTGTGACGCGAGTGAGTGAGCCTGGTAATCACTTAGCAACTGGAATAGAGTACCATCCAACGGAACGAAAAGCAATGGTGCTGAATCAATGGTTCTGCATGCACAGAACGGAACGCAGCTGCGCGCGCTCGTACGGTGAAACCATTGGCAGCAGTTGAAGGGGTAGGGGGATGACGACAAAAAGGCAGGGCACCTGAGAATGTGTCTTTGTTGGTTGGATCTTCCTGGATGTGCTTCAGATAAAGAGCGCCGTAGCTGACGGACGGGGGAGGCAGATGATAAGAAGAAGCATGATATAGAATAATGGCAGGATGAGAGAGCATAGAACAGAAAAACATCAACAAAACAGCACACAACTATTCAAGAGCATAGAAACTCATCATTGGAAGATGAAATAGTACAGCACAAAGCCAAACCTCCTCTCCAAAAGCACGCTAAACCACAGAGACTCGTAGCCGCACATGCAAATCGGCTCAATGCTGTAAAATTCTGCAATAGATAGATTCATGAAGTTGGCTCAGAAATAACTAACGACTTCATAGCATGCAAGGCGCATGGCGAGAACTCCTTTTCAGTTGAAGCAGAACAAGGTGCCTTATGAGTCAACTCAAAGCTCTCCTGTGAAACTCGAACTCACTCTTTGATCTCCTGCAGGGCGCGTGGCTTGAGTCGAGGCACAAACTCCTTCCAGCTGAAATCGCCGATCCCAAACCTGCAGCAAGAGGTTTTGAGGGGGGGCGTGGCATGTGAATTCCAGTACCTTATCCCAGCCATTCATGTCCCGTTCATCACAGCACAAGGGGTGGCAGATGAACCCAATGCATGTGTAAACCAAGCACCACTTGCCCCCAGCGAGACCTGTTCTTCCCCAACATGCATCCTTTCTCTTCTCACCGCATGATGCGTTGTTGGAAGGTCATGCGCTGCTTGGAAGTAACCCCCAGCATTGGTGTACGGCCATGCCCCCTCCATCACATCACAAGCTGGTGATAGACAGGTGAACCCCAAGCACCGTCCCCCCCAAGCAAGCAGTATCCCCGCACACTCACCGCATGATAAGTTGCTGGAAGGTCATGCGCTGCTTGGAAGTGAACCCCAACACCTTGGTGTACGGCCATGCCCCCTCCATCAGCGGCCACACTTTCTTCCTCACTTCCCCCGCACCCCCCGCTCCTCCCATCCCTCCCACAGCACCAGCTGGAGCACCAGGAGAGGTAGCGGCCGTCGCTTTTCCGTACCTAATCTTCCTCTTCCTCCCCCTCCCCGTACTCTCCTCTTCAAGTTCCACATCACTCTCCCCATCCTCCCCGTCATCCTCCTCCCCGTCCTCGTCATACGCCTCATCCCCCTCCCCCTCCCCTCTCTCCCCCTTCCCCCCTCTCTCCCCCTTCCGCCCCCCCACCTTCTCCCCCTCTTCCTCCCCCTCATCAACCGCATAATCCACCTGTCGTCTCGCTCTCCTCCCTTTACCCAGCTCCAGAAACGTCTCTATCTGTTCTGCCTCGTATCGGTCTTTCAGGAGTGACTCCCAGTACGCGGCTCTCCCTGCTGCGTCTAGGCGCTTCCCTTCCTCTGCTAGCTCCTGTTCTCTCTGCCTTTCTCGCTCCAGCTCTCTCTCCTTCTCTGCGTCCACCTCCGCTTGATCTGCTTCTGATACGAAGCTGAAATTGGCGACCTGCAGTCGAAGGGAACGTTTGGCAATTGAGGAGGGCAGGGAAACAATGCTTTTCTATAGCATGAAATGGCTTGAAAATACCTGAAATATCGAAATCGCATATAAAACAACAAGGGATATGACGACATACAGCACTGCTTCTCGAATACCTTGAAGCCCTTGGGATATCAACAATCGAGAAGTTCAGTTGAAGTGAAGTGGCGATCTTCTTGAAGCTAGCTTGACAACCTTGGGATATCGACACTTTGAAGCATTCAGCTCAAGAGAAGAGAGAAGACAACTGGGCAAGCCACACCTTGAAGGCCTTGAGGTAGTCGTTGTCTGGTTCATCCTCCGCCTGCTCTTCACCCACTGTGCTGCGATCCAACAGCCTGCCAGCAGACCAGAGAGGGGAAGGGTGAAAAGGGAGGAGGTGAGAGAGGGAGGAGGAGAGAACAGGGAAACAGGATCAGGGAGAAGAGCGAGCAGCAGAGCAGAGGAGAGAGGAGGAGGAGTAAGGGTACAATCAATAAAAAGCTACAGGAAGTGGGCTGGAAAAGGGGGTGGAAGAGGTGGAGAGGGAGGGAGGGTTGAGGGGACGAATGCCACGAGGGGAAGACGTGTGGTGGGTGGAAATCATTGTTGAAGAGGTTGTGCTGATCTAACACTGACATACCCCATGTCCTATTAAATGCACATGGCGCATCAAACGCACCTCTCGATAGCAGCGTCATCGTAGTAGATCCGCCGGCTCTCCTTCTGCTTCTTTTTCTCCTTAGCTTTCTCATCCCCAGCTGCTCCTTTCTCAACGTCCTTGTCAGCATCCTTGTCAGCATCCTTACTGCCTTCTCCAGCCTTGTCTCCCACCACCTCCTCACCTCCTTCATCCTCTTTCTTCCCCTCTCCCTCCTTTGCCTCTTTCCCCTCCTCCCCTTCCTCCCCTCCTTTCACCTCTTTCTCCTCCTCCTCCTCCTCCTCCTCCTCTTCAAATAGCTCCTTAGCTCCGAATCGCAGAATGTCGTCCAACTCCTCCTGTACAGTCACGCAGAACAGTAGGTGCACACAGCAACAACAGTCACGCTTTTTTGAGACGTCTCAAGAGTCGGCTTTTCCTCCTCATCCCCCTCCTCAAACAGCTCCTTAGCTTTGAATCGTAGAATGTCGTCCAACTTCTCCTGGACACGCATGCACACAGCAACAGCGATGCATAGCACCAGGTGCACACAGTTTGAAATGCGATATGCCATAGTTTACTCAACTGGTTGAGGCATCGCACTGACCTGGTCGGTTGAGTTGAGAGTTATCACACCACCCACCTGGTTGAGGTTGGACTGTTTGAGCTTCCCACCACCACGTGCTCCAGTACCCTCTTCTTCTTGCTCATCTGCTGCACCCTGCCCAGCTGGTTGCAATACGGCACTCACTTCCTTGGTTGGTTGGTTGAGTTGGGTTATCGCACCACACCACGCACCTGGTTGAGGTTGGACTGTTTGAGCTTCCCACCACCACGTGCTCCAGTACCCTCTTCTTCTTGCTCATCTGCTGCACCCTGCCCAGCTGGTTGCAATACGGCACTCACTTCCTTGGTTGGTTGGTTGAGTTGGGTTATCGCACCACACCACGCACCTGGTTTAGATTAGACTGTTTGAGCTTCCCCACCACCACGTGCTCCAGTACCCTCTTCTTCTTGCTCATCTGCTGCACCCTGCCCAGCTGGTTGCAATACGGCACTCACTTCCTTGGTTGGTTGGTTGAGTTGGGTTATCGCACCACACCACGCACCTGGTTTAGATTAGACTGTTTGAGCTTCCCCACCACCACGTGCTCCAGTACCCTCTTCTTCTTGCTCATCTGCTGCACCCTGCCCAGCTGGTTGCAATACGGCACTCACTTCCTTGGTTGGTTGGTTAAGTTGGGTTATCGCACCACACCACGCACCTGGTTTAGATTAGACTGTTTCAGCTTCCCCACCACCACGTGCTCCAGTACCCTCTTCTTCTTGCTCATCTGCACCATGCGCTCCTCCACAGTCGCCCGCGTCACCAGCCGGTAGATCATCACCTGCAACGAGGCCACTCAAGCCACACAACATACACATACACACGCAAAATAGATGAGCGGTATTCGGCCTGCCACATACACACCTCAGAGAGAGGCAGGCATTCGGGTGTGCTGAGTGTGCTGGGTTTTGGCATGCAGGAATGAGCATGCATTTGCACCCTGACACACACACAAGCAAGGGAAATGCTGTCACACGGAGTGGGGTTGTGCACTAATGTGTGCACCGCACACCCAGCGCACGCACTTATGACTTGTGAGTGTGCTTTGTGTAGTCAGCTCCTCGCACGCATGCACCCACCCCGCCGCTCCCTCCCCCCCCCTCCCCCCCCCCCCCACACACATACACACACACATGCACACACACATATGCACACACACACATGCACACACACACATGCACACACACACATGCACACACACACATGCACACACACACACACAAGCACATACACGCACACGCACATGCACATGCATGCCCACATGCACACGCACTCTCACACACACTTCCTCCTTACCGTTTGGGTCTGCCCCAGCCTGTGTGCTCGAGCCATGGCCTGCAGGTCCGCATGCGGGTTCCAATCACTGCGATGGGGCGAAAAAGGGAGGGAGGGTGAGCAGAGGACACAGGGCAAGGAGAGAAAGAGATTGCAGTCAGAAGCAATAGTCTATAGAGGCCATAAGGCAAGGCTCGCAGGTCTGCTTGAGGATTGGAGTCACTGGGGGCGAGGAGAAGGGGTGGAAAGCGGACAGTGAATATTGCACAGTGTGAGGCGTTTGGGGAGCCACTGCCCGGGCAGGTAGAAAAAGAAAAAGACAATTCCTAACTCTGAACATATCCCTCCCTTAACCAGAAAAAGACAATTCCTACACTCGTACCTTTTGTATAAAATTACATCTTTGGTACCTGTCGTATATAATCACGGTGTCCGCAGTAGCGAGGTTGATCCCCAGTCCCCCAGCACGAGTGGAGAGCAGAAACACAAAGCGGGTCGACCCCGGTGCATTAAAGCGATCGATGCGCTGCTGCCGGTCTGATCCGCTGATGCTGCCGTCTATGCGCTCGCACCCCCAGCCCTGATGGATGGGGGGGTGTTTGGTTGGAGGAAAAAGAGAATGGTTAGAAGGTATATGAGGAGGTTTCAACCCTGGCGCGTTAAACCTGCAGTGCACCTGCCCATCCGCAGGGTATTTTTGAGAATTCTTAAAAATGCCCACCCATCACCCAGTGACCCACCTTGCCCACGAGCCTCTCCTGCAGCAGATTCAATCCAATATGCGCTTGAAATGAACAGAGAGCACACCAGCACTGATTAAAAGCAAAATTTGATCACACTCAAACTTAAATCCACTCATTCACCTTGCCCATGAGCCACCCACCTTGCCCATGAGCCACCCACCTTGCCCAGCCACTCCTGCAGCAGGTCCAGCATGCGCTTGAACTGAGAGTACACCAGCACGACTGAATGAACTAAGCACGCCTTTTTTATTCACCTCACTCTCTCAACTTTACACCCACTGCCCACCTTGCGCATGAGCCACTCCTGCAGCAGGTCCAGCATGCGCTTGAACTGTGAGTACACCAGCACGCGGTGGCCCCCCGCCTTCAGCCGCTCCAGCATTCGCTCCAACAGGGCCAGCTTGTCAGACGCTGCCACCATGCGCCTGGGAGGTAAGTGCATGGAGAGGAACAAGGGAGAGGAAAAAGGGACAGGGAACAGGGGCAAGGTGAGTACATCAACACGCGGTGACCCCCCGCCTTGAGCCGCTCCGGCATTCGCTTGAGTAAGGCCAGCTTGTCAGACGGGGCCACCATGCGCCTGGGAGGTAAGTGCATGGAGAGGAACAAGGGAGAGGGAACAGGGGCAAGGTGAGTTCACCAACACGCGGTGCCCCCCCCGCCTTGAGCTGCTCCAGCATGCGCTCTAGTTAGGCCAGCTTGTCCGCTGCTGCCACCGTGCGCCTGGGGGGGAAGGGAAGTGCATAGAAGATGGGACGTGAGTGTGTGCGAGTGGGGGAGGGTGAGTGAAGCACAGCCCACTACTCCCCTTTTTCCCCATGCCCAGCCAGCTAGCCAGCGTCTGCCAGTGTTCTTTCCCCATACCCAAGAAATCGCGTTTTCTCAAAAGCTCTGCGCCCTGATCCACCAATCATCTCCACCGCACAGCCCCTGCGAATATTACTTTTGAGAATTCTCAAAAGCTCTGCGCCCTGATCCACCAATCATCTCCACCGCACAGCCCCTGCGAATATTACTTTTGAGAATTCTCAAAAGCTCTGCGCCCTGATCCACCAATCATCTCCACCGCATAGCCCCCGCGAATATTAATTTTGAGAATTCTCAAAAGCTCTGCGCCCTGATCCACCAATCATCTCCACCGCATAGCCCCTGCCCCTCCCATCCCACTCGTCCCCACACCCTTACCGGCTGGCTTCTGCGGGCGTGTCGCCCCCTCCGTGCTGCTCCTCCACGCCCTCCACCAGGAACGGGTGGCAGCACACCTTGCGCAGCTGCATCATCGTGTTGGTCAGGGAAACCTGTGAAGGGTGATCACATACGGGGGGTGGGAACCGGGGGGGTGACCAAGGCAAGGAAAGTGCGGAGAGTGACAGAACAGACTTATGAGGCGCCTCAAAAGTGCGGAGAGTGACAGAACAGACTTATGAGGCGCCTCAAAAGTGCGGAGAGTGACAGAACAGACTTATGAGGCGCCTCAAAAGTGCGGAGAGTGACAGAACAGACTTATGAGGCGCCTCAAAAGTGCGGAGAGTGACAGAACAGACTTATGAGGCGCCTCAAAAGTGCGGAGAGTGACAGAACAGACTTATGAGGCGCCTCAAAAGTGCGGAGAGTGACAGAACAGACTTATGAGGCGCCTCAAAAGTGCGGAGAGTGACAGAACAGACTTATGAGGCGCCTCAAAAGTGCGGAGAGTGACAGAACAGACTTATGAGGCGCCTCAAAAGTGCGGAGAGTGACAGAACAGACTTATGAGGCGCCTCAAAAGTGCGGAGAGTGACAGAACAGACTTATGAGGCGCCTCAAAAGTGCGGAGAGTGACAGAACAGACTTATGAGGCGCCTCAAAAGTGCGGAGAGTGACAGAACAGACTTTTGAGGCGCCTCAAAAGTGCGGAGAGTGACAGAACAGACTTATGAGGCGCCTCAAAAGTGCGGAGAGTGACAGAACAGACTTATGAGGCGCCTCAAAAGTGCGGAGAGTGACAGAACAGACTTATGAGGCGCCTCAAAAGTGCGGAGAGTGACAGAACAGACTTATGAGGCGCCTCAAAAGTGCGGAGAGTGACAGAACAGACTTATGAGGCGCCTCAAAAGTGCGGAGAGTGACAGAACAGACTTATGAGGCGCCTCAAAAGTGCGGAGAGTGACAGAACAGACTTTTGAGGCGCCTCAAAAGTGCGGAGAGTGACAGAACAGACTTATGAGGCGCCTCAAAAGTGTGGAGAGTGACAGAACAGACTTATGAGGCGCCTCAAAAGTGCGGAGAGTGACAGAACAGACTTATGAGGCGCCTCAAAAGTGCGGAGAGTGACAGAACAGACTTATGAGGCGCCTCAAAAGTGCGGAGAGTGACAGAACAGACTTATGAGGCGCCTCAAAAGTGCGGAGAGTGACAGAACAGACTTATGAGGCGCCTCAAAAGTGCGGAGAGTGACAGAACAGACTTATGAGGCGCCTCAAAAGTGCGGAGAGTGACAGAACAGACTTTTGAGGCGCCTCAAAAGTGCGGAGAGTGACAGAACAGACTTATGAGGCGCCTCAAAAGTGTGGAGAGTGACAGAACAGACTTATGAGGCGCCTCAAAAGTGCGGAGAGTGACAGAACAGACTTATGAGGCGCCTCAAAAGTGCGGAGAGTGACAGAACAGACTTATGAGGCGCCTCAAAAGTGCGGAGAGTGACAGAACAGACTTATGAGGCGCCTCAAAAGTGCGGAGAGTGACAGAACAGACTTATGAGGCGCCTCAAAAGTGCGGAGAGTGACAGAACAGACTTATGAGGCGCCTCAAAAGTGCGGAGAGTGACAGAACAGACTTATGAGGCGCCTCAAAAGTGCGGAGAGTGACAGAACAGACTTATGAGGCGCCTCAAAAGTGCGGAGAGTGACAGAACAGACTTATGAGGCGCCTCAAAAGTGCGGAGAGTGACAGAACAGACTTATGAGGCGCCTCAAAAGTGCGGAGAGTGACAGAACAGACTTATGAGGCGCCTCAAAAGTGCGGAGAGTGACAGAACAGACTTATGAGGCGCCTCAAAAGTGCGGAGAGTGACAGAACAGACTTATGAGGCGCCTCAAAAGTGCGGAGAGTGACAGAACAGACTTATGAGGCGCCTCAAAAGTGCGGAGAGTGACAGAACAGACTTATGAGGCGCCTCAAAAGTGCGGAGAGTGACAGAACAGACTTATGAGGCGCCTCAAAAGTGCGGAGAGTGACAGAACAGACTTATGAGGCGCCTCAAAAGTGCGGAGAGTGACAGAACAGACTTTTGAGGCGCCTCAAAAGTGCGGAGAGTGACAGAACAGACTTATGAGGCGCCTCAAAAGTGCGGAGAGTGACAGAACAGACTTATGAGGCGCCTCAAAAGTGCGGAGAGTGACAGAACAGACTTATGAGGCGCCTCAAAAGTGCGGAGAGTGACAGAACAGACTTTTGAGGCGCCTCAAAAGTGCGGAGAGTGACAGAACAGACTTATGAGGCGCCTCAAAAGTGCGGAGAGTGACAGAACAGACTTATGAGGCGCCTCAAAAGTGCGGAGAGTGACAGAACAGACTTATGAGGCGCCTCAAAAGTGCGGAGAGTGACAGAACAGACTTATGAGGCGCCTCAAAAGTGCGGAGAGTGACAGAACAGACTTTTGAGGCGCCTCAAAAGTGCGGAGAGTGACAGAACAGACTTTTGAGGCGCCTCAAAAGTGCGGAGAGTGACAGAACAGACTTATGAGGCGCCTCAAAAGTGCGGAGAGTGACAGAACAGACTTTTGAGGCGCCTCAAAAGTGCGGAGAGTGACAGAACAGACTTTTGAGGCGCCTCAAAAGTGCGGAGAGTGACAGAACAGACTTATGAGGCGCCTCAAAAGTGCGGAGAGTGACAGAACAGACTTTTGAGGCGCCTCAAAAGTGCGGAGAGTGACAGAACAGACTTTTGAGGCGCCTCAAAAGTGCGGAGAGTGACAGAACAGACTTATGAGGCGCCTCAAAAGTGCGGAGAGTGACAGAACAGACTTTTGAGGCGCCTCAAAAGTGCGGAGAGTGACAGAACAGACTTTTGAGGCGCCTCAAAAGTGCGGAGAGTGACAGAACAGACTTATGAGGCGCCTCAAAAGTGCGGAGAGTGACAGAACAGACTTTTGAGGCGCCTCAAAAGTGCGGAGAGTGACAGAACAGACTTTTGAGGCGCCTCAAAAGTGCGGAGAGTGACAGAACAGACTTTTGAGGCGCCTCAAAAGTGCGGAGAGTGACAGAACAGACTTTTGAGGCGCCTCAAAAGTGCGGAGAGTGACAGAACAGACTTATGAGGCGCCTCAAAAGTGCGGAGAGTGACAGAACAGACTTTTGAGGCGCCTCAAAAGTGCGGAGAGTGACAGAACAGACTTATGAGGCGCCTCAAAAGTGCGGAGAGTGACAGAACAGACTTATGAGGCGCCTCAAAAGTGCGGAGAGTGACAGAACAGACTTATGAGGCGCCTCAAAAGTGCGGAGAGTGACAGAACAGACTTATGAGGCGCCTCAAAAGTGCGGAGAGTGACAGAACAGACTTTTGAGGCGCCTCAAAAGTGCGGAGAGTGACAGAACAGACTTTTGAGGCGCCTCAAAAGTGCGGAGAGTGACAGAACAGACTTATGAGGCGCCTCAAAAGTGCGGAGAGTGACAGAACAGACTTTTGAGGCGCCTCAAAAGTGCGGAGAGTGACAGAACAGACTTTTGAGGCGCCTCAAAAGTGCGGAGAGTGACAGAACAGACTTATGAGGCGCCTCAAAAGTGCGGAGAGTGACAGAACAGACTTTTGAGGCGCCTCAAAAGTGCGGAGAGTGACAGAACAGACTTTTGAGGCGCCTCAAAAGTGCGGAGAGTGACAGAACAGACTTATGAGGCGCCTCAAAAGTGCGGAGAGTGACAGAACAGACTTTTGAGGCGCCTCAAAAGTGCGGAGAGTGACAGAACAGACTTATGAGGCGCCTCAAAAGTGCGGAGAGTGACAGAACAGACTTTTGAGGCGCCTCAAAAGTGCGGAGAGTGACAGAACAGACTTATGAGGCGCCTCAAAAGTGCGGAGAGTGACAGAACAGACTTTTGAGGCGCCTCAAAAGTGCGGAGAGTGACAGAACAGACTTATGAGGCGCCTCAAAAGTGCGGAGAGTGACAGAACAGACTTTTGAGGCGCCTCAAAAGTGCGGAGAGTGACAGAACAGACTTATGAGGCGCCTCAAAAGTGCGGAGAGTGACAGAACAGACTTTTGAGGCGCCTCAAAAGTGCGGAGAGTGACAGAACAGACTTTTGAGGCGCCTCAAAAGTGCGGAGAGTGACAGAACAGACTTATGAGGCGCCTCAAAAGTGCGGAGAGTGACAGAACAGACTTTTGAGGCGCCTCAAAAGTGCGGAGAGTGACAGAACAGACTTTTGAGGCGCCTCAAAAGTGCGGAGAGTGACAGAACAGACTTATGAGGCGCCTCAAAAGTGCGGAGAGTGACAGAACAGACTTATGAGGCGCCTCAAAAGTGCGGAGAGTGACAGAACAGACTTATGAGGCGCCTCAAAAGTGCGGAGAGTGACAGAACAGACTTATGAGGCGCCTCAAAAGTGCGGAGAGTGACAGAACAGACTTATGAGGCGCCTCAAAAGTGCGGAGAGTGACAGAACAGACTTATGAGGCGCCTCAAAAGTGCGGAGAGTGACAGAACAGACTTATGAGGCGCCTCAAAAGTGCGGAGAGTGACAGAACAGACTTATGAGGCGCCTCAAAAGTGCGGAGAGTGACAGAACAGACTTATGAGGCGCCTCAAAAGTGCGGAGAGTGACAGAACAGACTTTTGAGGCGCCTCAAAAGTGCGGAGAGTGACAGAACAGACTTTTGAGGCGCCTCAAAAGTGCGGAGAGTGACAGAACAGACTTTTGAGGCGCCTCAAAAGTGCGGAGAGTGACAGAACAGACTTTTGAGGCGCCTCAAAAGTGCGGAGAGTGACAGAACAGACTTTTGAGGCGCCTCAAAAGTGCGGAGAGTGACAGAACAGACTTTTGAGGCGCCTCAAAAGTGCGGAGAGTGACAGAACAGACTTTTGAGGCGCCTCAAAAGTGCGGAGAGTGACAGAACAGACTTTTGAGGCGCCTCAAAAGTGCGGAGAGTGACAGAACAGACTTTTGAGGCGCCTCAAAAGTGCGGAGAGTGACAGAACAGACTTTTGAGGCGCCTCAAAAGTGCGGAGAGTGACAGAACAGACTTTTGAGGCGCCTCAAAAGTGCGGAGAGTGACAGAACAGACTTTTGAGGCGCCTCAAAA